ATTGTGAGACCTTCCCCAGCCACGTGGAACTGTAAGTCAAATTAAACCTCTTTCTTTTGTAAATTGCCCAGTCTTGGGTATGTCTTTACTAGCAGTGTGAAAACGGACTAATGCAGTAAATTGGTACCAGTAGAGTGGGGCGTTGCTGAAAAGATACCTGAAAATGTGGAAGCGACTTTGGAACTGGGTAACAAGCAGAGATTGGAACAGATTGAAGGGCTCAGAAGAAGACAGGAAAATGTGGGAAAGTTTGGAACTTCCTAGAGACTTGTTGAATGGCTTTGCCCAAAATGCTGATAGCAATATGGACAATAAAATCCAGGCTGAGGTGGTCTCAGATGGAGATGAGGAACTCCTGGGGAACTGGAGCAAAGGTGGCTGTTGTGTTTTAGCAAAGAAACTGGTGGCATTTTGCTCTTGCGTTAGAGATTTGTGGAACTTTGAACTTGTGAGACAGGATTTAGGGTATCTGGCTGAAGAATCTTTTTTTTTTTTTTTTTTTTTTTAAGACACAGTCTTGCTCTATCACCCAGGCTGGAGTGCAGTGGCACGATTTCGGCTCACTGCAACCTCTGCCTCCCAGGTTCAAGTGATTCTCCTGACTCAGCCTCCCAAGTAGCTGGGATTACAGGCACACACCACCTTGCCCAGCTAATTTTTATATTTTTTTTGTAGAGACAGGGTTTCACCATGTGGGCCAGGCTGGTCTCAAACTCCTAACCTCAAGTGATCCACTCGCCTTGGACTCCCAAAGTGCTGGGATTACAGGCGTGAGCCACTGCACCCGCACCTGGTCGGCTGAAGAAATTTCTTTTTCTTTTTCTTTTTTTTCTTTTGAGACAGAGTCTCACTCTGTCACCCAGGCTGGAGTGCGGTGGTGCTATCTCGGCTCACTGCAAGCTCTGCCTCCCAGGTTCATGCCATTCTTCTGCCTCAGTCTCCTGAGTAGCTGGGACTACAGGCACTCACCATGCCTGGCTAATTTTTTTTGTATTTTTTTAGTAGAGACAGTGTTTCACTGTATTAGCCAGGAAGGTCTCGATTTCCTGACCTTGTGATCCGCCTGCCTTGGCCTCCCAAAGTGCTGAGATTACAGGCGTGAGCCACTGTGCCCAGCCGGCTAAAGAAATTTCTGAGCAGCAAAACATTCAAGAGGTGACTTGGGTACTGCTAAAGTCACTCAGTTTTAAAAGGGCAACAGAGCATTCAAGTTCAGAAAATTTGCAGCCTGACTATGATAGAAAAGAAAAACCCATTTTCTGGGGAGAAGTTCAAGCCAGCTGCAGAAATTTGCATAAGTAGCAAGGAGCCTAATGATAATCCTCAAGACCATGGGGAAAATGTCTCCAGGCCATGTCAGAGACCTTTATAGCAGCCCCTCCCATCACAGACCCAGAGGTCCAGGAGGAAAAAGTGGTTTTGTGGGCCAGGCCCAGGGTCCCCGAGCTATGTGCAGCCTAGGGGCTTGGTCCTTTTGTGCAAGCCGCTCCAGCCGTGGCTGAAAGGGGCCAATGTATAGCTCAGGCTGTGGCTTCAGAGGTGGAAGCCCCAAACCTTGGCACTTTCCATGTGGTGTTGAGCCTGCGGGTGCACAGGAGTCAAGAACTGAGGTTTGGGAACCTCCACCAAGATTTCAGAAGATGTATGGAAATGTATGGATACCCAGACAAGTTTGCTGTAGGCGTGGGGCCCTCATGGAGTACCTGTGCTGGGGTAGTATGGAAGGGAAATGTGGGGTTGGAGCCCCCACATAGCGTCCCTACTGGGGTATCATCTAGTGGAGCTGTGAGAAGAGGGTGACCATCCTCCAGACCCCAGAATGGTAGATTCACCTACCATTGCACCATGTACCTGGAAAAGCCACAGACACACAACCCAGCCTGTGAAAGCAGCCAGGAGGGAGGCTGTACCCTGCAAAGCCACAGGGGTGGAGCTGCCCAAGACCATGGGAACCCAGCTCTTGGCATCACTGTGATCTGGATTTGAGACATGAAGTGAAAGGGGATCATTTTAAGATTTGACTGACGCACTGGATTTTGGACTTGCATGGGGCCCACAGCCCCTTTGTTTTGGACAATTTATCCCATTTGGAATGGCTGTATTTACCCAATGCCTGTACCCCCATTGTATCTAAAAAGTCACTAACTTGCTTTAGATTTTACAGGCTCATAGAGGGAAGGGACTTGCCTTGTCTCAGATGAGACTTTGGAGTGTGGACTTTTAGGTTAATGCTGAAATGAGTTAATACTTTGGGGAACTGTTGGGAAGACATGATTGGTTTTGAAATGTGAGGACATGAGATTTGGAGGGGCCAGGGGAGTGGAATGATATGGTTTGGCTGTGTCCTCACCCAAATCTCAACTTGAACTGTATTTCCCATTATTACCACGTGTTGTGGGAGGGACCCAGGGGGAGGTAACTGAACCATGGAGGCTGTTCTTTCCTGTGCCATTCTCATGAGATCTGATGGGTTTATCAGGGGTTTCTGCTTTTGCTTCTTCATTTTTTTTTTGTTTTTGTTTTTTTTTGAGACAGATTTTTGCTCCTCACCCAGGCTGCAGTGTAATGGCCCGATCTTGGCTCACCACAACCTCCACCTCCCAAGTTCAAGCGATTCTCCTGCCTCAGCCTCCTGAGTAGCTGGAATTACAGGCGTGCACCACCATGCATGGCTAATTTTTTTGTATTTTTTGTAGAGGCTTCACTATGTTGGTCAGGCTGGTCTTGAACTCCTGACCACAGGTGATCCACCCGCCTTGGCCTCCCAAATCCCAGGCTCACACCTGGGATTATAGGTGTGCACCACCATGCCCAGCCCTTCCTCATTCTCTCTTGCTGCTGCCGTGTAGGAAGTGCCTTTTGCCTGATTGTAAGACTTCCCCGATCACGTGGAACCATAAGTCCAATCAAACCTCTTTTTTTTGTAAATTGCCCAGTCCCGGGTATTTCTTTATCAGCAGTATGAAAACAGACTAATACAGTGCCCTAGGCTGGGAACTGGGTAGGGGTAGAGGGATAGCCCTGAAGCTACAGGAAGTCAACAGGTGCAGCTGGTAAAGACCTTAAGACCTTTTGGTTTAAAATATCTGCTTCTCTGGTTTAAAATGTTCATCTCTGGCCAGGCACAGTGGCTCACGCTTATAATACCAGCACTTTAGGAGGCTGAGGTGGGCGGATCACCTGAGGTCAGGAGTTCAAGACCAGACTGAACAACATGGTGAAACCCTGTCTCTACTAAAAATATAAAACTTAGCCAGGCATGGTGATGGGCACCTGTAATCTCAGTTACTCAGGAGGCGGAGGTTGCAGTGAGCCAAGATCACACCATTGCACTCCAGCCTGGGCAACAGAGCAAGACTCTATATCAAAAATAAATAAATAAATACATAAATAAATGAATAAAATGTTTATTTCTATTTGTCTCTACCCTCCTGAAAAATGGCTTTATGCAAGGTAAGTCATTATAAGAATGGTTTCTTGGTTAACTATTAGAGATCCTCCAGCTTGCTAGTAGAGGTGTGATTAATTTTTTTTTTTTGAGATGGGAGTCTTGTTCTGTTGCCCAGGCTAGAGTGCAGTGGTGTGATCTTGGCTCACCGCCACCTCTGCCTCCCGGGTTCAAGTGATTCTGCCTCAGCCTTCTGAGTAGCTGGGATTACAGGCGTCTGCCACCATGCCTGGCTAATTTTTTTGTATTTTTAGTAGAAATGGGGTTTCACCATGTTGTGAAATGTCCAAGCTAGTCTTGAACTTCTGACCTCAGGTGATCCATCCGCCCGGCCTCCCAAAGTGCTGGGATTACAGGCATGAGCCACCACCCTCGGCCAAAATTTTTTACACCTCTTGTCTATTGCACATGCAAAATTGCCTTTTTTTTTTTCTGAGATAGAGTCTTGCTCTGTCATCCAGGCTGGAGTACAGTGGCGCAATCTCGGCTCACTGCAACCTCCACTTCCCAGGTTCAAGCAATTCTCCTGCCTCAGCCTCCTGAATGGCTAGGATTACAGGCACGCACCACCACGCCCAGCTAACTGTATTTTTAGTAGAGACAGGGTTTCACCATGTTGGCCAGGCTGGTCTTGAACTCCTGACCTCGTGATCCACCCGCCTTGGCCTCCCAAAGTGCTGGGATTACAGGTGTGAGCCACCGCACCCAGCCACCTTTTTCTTAATGTTATCTAGTTCTCAGTAATTTTATTCTCTATAAGTAGAATGCCCAAGTGTATGCCCAGCCACGTTATGAGAGAAATGTAAATTAAAACAATTGACACTTAACTTCTATTAAAGCAATCCCCAACTCACTCCCCAAACCCTACCCCAAGCATCATATCAGCAAAAAATGTGAGGCTATAACACAGCTAGCTGTGGTACAGGTTGGTAATCTAAACCCTTTATAGTAGACTGCTGCCTGCCTACCCAATATCTACTCTCCCCTTTTAAAACAGAACCCCACTTTTGTTAGGAGTAGCAATGTGTCCAGGTACATCTTCCAGCATTCTTTACAATTAGGGCTGGTCATATGTCATAATTCTGGCCAATGAGATATTAAGTTGAGGGTTTCTTAAAATGCTGTGCTCCCCAGATACAAACAACAAGAAGGGGTGGTGCCATTTCCCTCCCTGGAGTGTAGATGTGAGGCAAGAGATAAAGAAACCATACTTCATAACTGAAAAGATGAAAACTGCATACTAAAATGATGAAAGAGAAATCTGGATGGAGCCCAGAATATTTAAGACATTGTAAAGCTGCTGCACCATCCTGAACTTCTCACACCAGAATTATATGAGAAACAAAAACAATTTTAGAAACCTCAGTTTAGCCAAGTTTTCAAATGCAGTATTAACTGATAGACTCTTATGGCTTGTCTACTTTTGGGAACTTTTGATTAAAGAAAAAAAGTTTGAAAAAAGAAAAAGTTGCGTACATGAAGATATCAGTGTAGTATTTTTTTATATTAGGTTAGCACTGAAAATAAAATTAGATATCCAACAATGAGAAAATTTTTAAGTACTTAGGACTGCAATTTTATAGTGAGCTTTATGGGCCGCGCACAGTGGCTCATGCTTGTAATCCCAACACTTTGGGAGGCAAAGGTGGGCGGATCATTTGAGGTCAGGAATCTGAGACCAGCCTGACCAACATGGTGAAACCCTGTCTCTACTAAAAACACAAAAAATTTAGCTGGGTGTGGTGGTGCATGCCTGTAGTCCCAGCTACTCACGAGGCTGAGGCGGGAGAATCACTTGAATCCAGGAGGCAGAGGTTGCAGTGAGCCGAGATTGCATCACTGCACTCCAGCCTGGGTAACAGAGTGAGACTCGTCTCAAAAACAAACAAAAATAATAATAAAGTGAGCTTTATGAAGACATTACAGAAAAGATTCAAATATAAAATGACTTCTGTTCTAATTATAACTAGTGGCAAAACTGTTGGTTGTCTCATCCATGGTAATTCCCAATCCCCATTTTGCTTTCCCACCTTCCATTAGTGAGATTGGAAAGGCTTACAATTTCATTTTCCCACTTTCCTGGGAACAAGGGGTGATCATGTTGTACATTTACGGCTAGTAGATGAACACAAGTCTGATCTAAATTTCTAGAAAAGGTTTTACATTTATGAGGAAAGGATCAGATGTGGAAGGCCCTGCTTCCCCTTCTTTTTGTCTTCAATACAGCAGTCACATTGGCTTGAACTGCAATGGCCATCTTATTTCCATGACGGAAAGGCTAAAGGAATCTGAGACCTTGATATCACTGAGTCACTAAACCAATGCCAGTGGCCAGCTCCTTTAGACTTCTTGTTATCTGAGAAAAATAAACCCCTATTTGAAGAACCATTGCCACTTGGATCTTTTGTGTTACTTAAAGCAGAAAACATTCCTACCTGATACAGAAATAGATAAATTATAAGTGATATAAACAAATTAAAACAGTTGACCTGTTAGAGTATTTTTGAAAATGATTTGTTAGATAAAGTTCTGTTTGTGCAATAAAGCATTTAAAAATAAAAGTATTGAGGCCAGGCATGGTGGCTCATGCCTATAATCCCAGCACTTTGGGAGGCTGAGGCGGGCGGATCACCTGAGGTCAGGAGTTTGAGAGCAGCCTGGTCAACATGGTGAAACCCTGTTTCTACACAAAACTTAGCCAGGTGTGGTGGCGGGTGCCCGTAGACTCAGCTACTCAGGAGCCTGGGGCAGGAGAATCACTAATCACTTGAACCTGGGAGGCAGAGGTTGCAGGGAGCTGAGATCCTGCCACTGCACTCCAGCCTGGGTGACAGAGTGAGACTCCGTCTCAAAAAAAAAAAAAAGTACTGTTTGATTAATTTTATTGCTGACTATGAACACATTTGCCATTTAATCCAGATTATTTTAATTCTGATGCTAAGGCCATCCATTGTCTTTTGTTAGGACTCAAATAAAATTTTAGTAACCAAAACATATTTTCAATAAAATTTTCTATGTATATAAAGAAATAACAAAACAACAAAAACCAAAAAAAGAACAAAACAGCACCAAGAACCTATGTAAAATTTCATCATACAATTTCTATGCAAGCTGCTTGATTACAGAAAACTGTTCAAACTGTTTATCAAAAATTGAGTGGGATTTTCCATTGATATTTCAGATATTCAAATCAATACAACCTATATTCTGAGTATCAATCTGAATTGCACAGGTTAAGATGTGAACCCTTCACATAGTGTTGAAGATGTGTTGCAATCTGTACTTGAATTGGCACTGCTTTCCTCAGAGTTAGGCTGCCTTCATGAGAAATATCTTCTATCCCTGAGAGATCAGCTACATCAAGATGGCTCATCAGCTAAATCACGTTGGTCAAAATACCTAGTAAAAAAAAAACAAAAACAATTTGTGTATAAAGATATTAACTGTAGCACTATTTTTAACAGGCAAAAGACCACAAGCAACCCAAACGTCCATCAATAAGAGACTGGTTAAATAAGCTATGGTATGTTTACACAGTGGAAAATTATGAAGCCATAAAAAGGGAAACAAGGGAAATATACTGCTAAAGTATGAGGAAAATATTTATACTGCTAAAGTATGATTTCCAGGATTTATTAAGTGAAAAAAACGAAGTACAGAACACATTGTTCTGGATGCTACCTACCTTATGTGAGTATGTGTAGGATTGCAAATATACATGTTTGTTTATATTTTTCTTTTCCTTTTTTTTTTTTTTTTGAGACAGAGTCTGGCTCTGCCGTCCAGGCTGGAGTGCAGTGGCCGGATCTCAGCTCACTGCAAGCTCCGCCTCCCGGGTTCACGCCATTCTCCTGCCTCAGCCTCCCGAGTAGTTGGGACTACAGGCGCCCACCACCGCGCCCGGCTAGTTTTTTGTATTTTTTAGCAGAGACGGGGTTTCACCGTGTTAGCCAGGATGGTCTCGATCTCCTGACCTCGTGATCCGCCCGTCTCGGCCTCCCAAAGTGCTGGGATTACAGGCTTGAGCCACCGCGCCCGGCCTTTTTTTTTTTTTTTTTTTGAGACAAGGTCTTACTCTGTCACTCAGGCCAGACTGCAGTGGCATGATCCTGGCTCACTGCCCAGACTGGTCTTGAACTCCTGGGCTCAAACAATTCTCCAGCCTCAGTCTCTCAAAGTGCTGGGATTACAGGCATGAGCCACCACACCTGGCCTACTTATACTTTTAAAAAGAAACAATGAATGAAAAGATAAAACAAAAATTAGTAATAAAATGGTTAACTAGAGGAGAAAGAAGAAAAGAGGATAATGAGGATAAAGATGGATGCTAAAATACTCCAAATGTACCCTGAATTACAATTTTAACTTTGGCAAGGTAACTATTTTATGTAATTACAAGATTAAATAAAAAGGAAAATCACTAATCAAATTCTGTCATGGCTCACTGCATTCTTGAACCCCCGGACTCAAGCAGTCCTCCCACCTTGACCTCCCAAAGCACTGGGATTACAGGTGTGATCTTTCTTTTTTTTTTTTTTTCTTTTTTTTTGAGATGGAGTTTCATTCTTGTTGCCCAGGCTGGAGTGCAATGGCATGATCTCGGCTCACTGCAACCTCTGCCTCCCAGGTTCAAGTGATTCTCCTGCCTCAGCATCTTGAGTAGCTGGGATTATAGGCATGCACCACCAGGCCCGGCTAATTTTTTATTTTTAGTAGAGACAGGGTTTCACCATGTTGGCCAGGCTAGTCTTGAACTCCTCACCTCAGATGATCCACCAGCCTCAGCCTCCCAAAGTGGTGGGATTACAGGCATGAGCCACCATGCCCGGTCCTTTTTTCCCTAAACTTTCAAGTCTTTATGTCCTCTTTTGTAAAGTGTTACCTTCAGAACCTTTTGTAGTCTAGAAGTTTTTCCATTTTTATCTAACTTTTTGAGGGCAAAAAATACACTTGAATGTTTTTGCTTTCATAATTGCATAGTACTGTAAAATCTCAATTGAGATAGTCAGAAACTATACTTGTCTCAGGTTTCATTAATTACTGGTTTGCTGAGCCACCAATTACTTAACCTTTCTGAATCTGTGTCATTATCTGTAAAAGCAAAAAAATCAAATCCAACAGAGCTGAAAGGAAAAAATTTATTAAAACAAAAACAACAAAAAAACACAACTCTGAGCTGTTGTAAAGAGTAGAGATACTACACATCAAGTAACTAGGGCAATGTTATATCATCCCATTTAACTGCTGCTACCAACAGATGAGGCAGGTATTAGCTTCATTTGTGATCAGCATAGTTAAAAGCTTAGCTCCGGAGTCAAAGTTGCCTGGGTTTGGATCCTAACTCTAACACTTGCTAGCTTTGTGACGGTAGTAATGTTATTTAACCTGTCTCTGCCATGGTTTCCTCATCTGTAAGCTGGTAACAGTACCCACCTCAGGAGGATTAAATGGGTTCCTCAATAAGAAAAATGCTTGGCACAAATTGCTCAGTAAATATTAATTATCATCAGCAGCATAATTATTGTAGATCAAGAAACTAGATATTGAATATGTGAAAATATGGAAACAAGATTACTTGCCTTCCCGATATTTAAGTATATTACAAAGCTTTAAAAAGGTACTGGCATTGGAATAAAAACACTGATCTATGGAACAAAAATATGTCCAGGAGGAGACCTAAAATAAATATGTGTGTGTTTTATTGCCTGGCCAATATGGTGAAACCCCATCTCCACAAAAATACAAAAATTAACCGGGCATGGTGGTGGGTGCCTGTAATCCCAGCTACTTGGGGGGCTGAGGCGGGAGAATCGCTTGAACCTGGGAGGTGAAGGTTGTAGTGAGCTGAGATGGTGCCATTGCACTCCAGGCTGGGCAAAAGAGTGAGACTCTGTCTCAAAACAAAACAACAAAAAAAGTTTTCAAATAAATTCCAAGAAGAATTTCTATGTAAGAAATGAAATCAAACAGATACTAAATAAAAATACGCCACAACTGAAAATGAACACAGGACACAGGCAATTAAAAAAAAATGCAGGCTGAGTGCAGTGGCTTTACGCCTGTAATCCCAGCACTTTGGGAGGTTTAGGTGTGAAGATCGCTTGAGCCCAGGAGTTTTGAGACCAGCCTGGGCAACATAGTGAGACCCTGTCTCTACAAACAATTTTTTTAATTAGCTGGGTGTGGTAGTGCTTGATTGTGGTCCTAGCTACTCAGGAGGCTGAGGTGGGAGGATTGCTGGAGCCCAGGAAGTTAAAGCTGTAGTGAGCTGTGATTGTGCCACTGCACCCTAACTATAGCAACAGAGGGAGACCCGGTCTCAATAAAAACAAACAAACAAAAAACAAATGTAATAAATACATCCTACCCTCACTGACCTCACTGATATACAAATAACAAAGAAGCCAAGGATTAACTATACCTGCTAACCAAGCAGATTAATAAATTCAAAGCAGGAACCCTCTCATCATCTTTGCTATCCTAAAAAAAAAAAAAAAAAAAAGAAAAATTTAAATATTGTCTGTTCCTATTATTTTTGAAATAAATTTCCTATGAAGATGTAAAACATGAAACATGAAAACTTTATTATATGACAGTAATCATCATGTGGAAACAGGAGCCCTCAAAGAAAAAGGAGAAAACTGTGGAGTTAATGATTCCTTGAGAAACATCTAAGACTATCTTTTAAATCAAGATTCTGAATAGGGAAAAAAAAAAAAAAGTTGAGGAATCTAAGGGGGATAACTTGGGGGAAATTTTTCCCTGGTTCCTACTAGAGGAACAATAAGAATCCTATGTCTTAACTGTACAGTGATGAATATATATATATATATTCATATATGTATCATATATTAATATGTAATACATAATATATTAATATATTGTGCCTTAACTATAGTGAATATATATTCATATATAATAAATATATATTAAAATAATACATCTATGAATATATATATTCATCACTGCAGTCAAGACACAGGATTCTTGTTTCTATGTAATGCATACAATATATGTGAGGATATATAGAATATATATGTGTATATATAATGTATATATATTCATCACTGTATAGTCAAGACACAGGATTCTTATTGTTCTTATATGTATTCATTACTGAATATATATATGCCAGGCGTGATAGCTCATGCCTGTAATCCCAGCACTTTGGGAGGCTGACATGGGTAGATCACCTGAGGTCAGCAGTTCGAGACCAGCCTGGCCAACATGGTGAAACCATGTCTCTACTGAAAATACAAAAATTAGCCAGGCATGGTGGTGGGCGCCTGTAATCTCAGCTACTCCAGGGGCTGAGGCAGGAGAATCAAAAAAAAAAATGGCTGAAGCTACAGCAGCCATCTTGGATCATGAGATAAGCATGAGGATGAAAGCCACATATGACAAAACTCAAAGGTCTAGGTTACTGCCATCTTAGTAAAAATCTCATTTTTTTACCTACTTTTTTTTTGGAGACAGAGTCTCACTCTGTTATCCAGGCTGGAGTGCAGTGGTGCGATCTCAGCTCACTGCAACCTCCGCCTCCTGGGTTCAAACAATTCTCCTGCCTCAACCTCCTGAGTAGCTAGGATGACAAGCACCCACCACCACGCCTGGCTAAATTTTGTATTTTTAGTAGAGATGGGGTTTCACCATGTTGGCCAGGCTGGTCTCAAACTCCTGACCTCAGGTGATCCACCCACCTCAGCCTCCCAAAGTGCTGGGACTACAGGTATGAGCCACCACACCCAGCCCAGACTTTCTTTATGTCAGAAAACATTTCCATATTATTTAAGCTACTATTATTTTGGGCTTTACAAATCTAATTGCAACCAATAAAATATTCCATGTGTTTTCTTATTTCACTGAACTCCTTCTTTACCACCATATAAATTGGTGGGTGCTTTTAATTTTAAACAGTAAGTTGCAACTTACCACTAAGAGCCTCACTTCGGAGCACCTTCTTGCAAGCTGCCGAATCAGTGAATGAGCCTCAGGTAATAAAGGTTTTTCAAGACAAGCCAATAAAGCATAAAGCCATCTGCCCTAAAAAAAAATTCAAAAAAGTAACATTTAGACAAATACTGAACCAGAAGTTTATTTTTTAAATGTCCAATGTTATGCCTGATTATCTGCTATGAATAAATTCATAGAACATTTAACTATATTATATTTGGGTATAGATAACAAAGCCTCATTTGGAGAGCCAGGTGTTATCTCTTGTATCCTATAATTACAGACACAGGACACTGGATACCTCAAAATATTCCCTGATCTCCAAAGAGTTTGTTTCAGATATTCCTTATGACAGGAAGTTCTCATTTGTAAGCAGAAAACTACATTAAGATGAATATAAATACTTGAAAAAAATTAAGATTTTTTCTTTGTTCTGTATGGACAGATATATAAATCATTTTATAATTGTATAATTTTGTCCTCTGGGGACATACAAACTATACCACAGATGAAATAATCTTTTGACACTTCTATAAATACTATTACAGGCTGAATGTATCCTCACTCCCTTTTAAAATGGGGTTTTCAGTTACAAAATGAACACATATTTGATGCAGAAAAACTGTGAAGAATACCACAAGGACAAGAAAAAACAAACCTGCAATCCCAACATTCCGGATAAAACTTTGACTCACTTTTAAAATGTTCTTGTTTTTCCTATTTGTATGTATGACTTTCTTTTTTTTTTGAGACGGAGTTTCGCTCTTGTTGCCCAGGCTGGAGTGCAATGGTGTGATCTCGGCTCACTGCAACCTCCGCCTCCTGGGTCCTGTCTCAGCATCCCAAGTACCTGGAATTACAGGCATGCACCACCACACCCGGCTAATTTTGTATTTTTAATAGAGATGAGGTTTCACCGTGTTGTTCAGGCTGGTCTCGAACTCCTGACCTCAAGTGATCCGCTTGCCTCAGCCTCCCAAAGTGGCAGGATTACAGGCGTGAGCCACTGTGCCCGGCTGTACAACTGTTTTCAATACAGTTTCATCAGTTGTAATATCATCTTGTAGCCATCTTTTTTATTTATAATACATAATAAAATGTTTACCATGTTGTTTTTGTCTTTTTTTTTTTTTTTTTGAGATGGAGTCTCACTCTGCCACCCAGGCTGGAGTGCAGTGGTGCCATCTCGGCTCACTGTAACCTATGTCTCCCAGGTTCAAGGAATCCCCCTGCCTCAGCCTCCTGCGTAGCTGGGACAACAGGTGACTGCCACCATGCCCAGCTAATTTTTGTATTTTTAGTAGAGATGGGGGTTTCACCATGTTGGCCAGGCTGGTGTCAAACTCCTGACCTCAAGTGATCCACCTGCCTCAGCCTCCCTAAGTGCTGGAATTGAAGGAGTGAGCCACCCCACTCAGCCATCCCATGTAGTTAAATGGGATTAACAAGGGAATGTTAAGTGTCTGGTTGAGAGTATTTAATAACATCTCCTTGTTTAATCTCATTTAACAACATGGGGAAAGTTTATTAAGTATTGCAAGTAAAATGGTGACAAAGGGTATGTATATTCATCAAGGTTTTTCAGATATGATCACCGGATTGTATCCTGGAAAGGTTATACCAAATTTGTATTTCCACCAGTACTATATACAACTTCATTTATTCTGAGCAACATATCACTTTGGGGAAACCTAAAAAATATTAGGACAAAATTTAAATAGCAATTTATACAACACACTAAGATGGTTTCCTCGGGCAAACCCAAATCAATAGTTAAGACTTTCTTACACAAGAAGATTCAAATCCAGGTTTCTTTTACAAATTGTGGAATTCTTTTTCTATAAAAAAAAAATTATAGGGCCGGGCGCGGTGGCTCAAGCCTGTAATCCCAGCACTTTGGGAGGCCGAGACGGGTGGATCATGAGGTCAGGAGATCGAGACCATCCTGGCTAATACGGTGAAACCCCGTCTCTACTAAAAAAATACAAAAAACTAGCCGGGCGAAGTGGCGGGTGCCTGTAGTCCCAGCTACTCGGGAGGCTGAGGCAGGAGAATGGCGTGAACCCGAGAGGAGGAGCTTGCAGTGAGCTGAGATCCGGCCACTGCACTCCAGCCTGGGTGACAGAACAAGACTCCGTCTCAAAAAAAAAAAAAAAAAAAAATTATATGTTTCAACTTGACTCAAATTTTAAGGGATACATTTACTATGTAAAGCTAGCATTCGGATATTAAATATTCTCTACACTTGTCTGCAACAAGATAAGGAGTTTGTACCTTGTACCAGGATATATATCAACTCTTTCATTGACTTTTTCTCAAAGAAGGAAGTAGTATATTGATTTACATTCTAGTGTTTGACTACAAACAAGCATAGTTCAGATTATACATATATATATATATATATATACACACACACACATACACATATATAAATGTAAACATTGGCTGGGCACAGTGGCTCACGCCTGTACTCCCAGCACTTTGAGAGGTGGAGATGGGCAGATCACCTGAGGTCACGAGTTCAAGACCAGTCTGGCCAACATGGAGAAAGCCTGTCTCTACAAAAATACAAAAATTAGCCGGGTATAGTGGCAGGCACCTGTAATCCCAGCTACTTGGAAGGTTGAGGCAGGAGAATCGCTTGAAACCAGGAGGCAGAGGCTGCAGTGAGCCAAGATCGCGCCAATGTACTCCAGCCTGGGTGACAGAGGGAGATTCCATCTCAAAACAAACAAATAAATAAAAAATAAATACTGTAGCATCATATCTCATATATAAGTATAGTCATGCGTCACTTAATGAAGGGGGATATATTCGGAGAAATGTGTTGTTAGGTGATTTTTGTCCCTGGATTAACATCACAGAGTGTACTTACACAAACCTAGATGGTATAGTCTACTATACACCTAGACTATATTGCATAGCCAATTGCGCCTAGGCTACAAACTTATATAGCACATTACTGTACTGAATACTGTAGGCAACTGTAACATAATGGTAAACATTTGTGCATCCAAAAAAACCATATATTTTTTAAGATAGGGTGTCACTCTGTCACTCAGGCTAGAGTGCAGTGGCACAATCATAGCTCACTGCAGCCTCAACCTCCCTGGCCTTAGGTGATTCTCCTGCCTCAGCCTCCCTAGTAGTTGGGATTACAGGCATGAGCCACTGTGCCTGGCCACATCTAAACATATTTAAACACTGGAAAGGAGCCGGGTTCAGTGGCTCATACTTGTAATCCAAACAGTTTGGGAGGCCAAGATGGGAGGAACACTTGAGCCTAGGAGTTTGAGATCAGCCTGGGGAACATAGTGAGACCTCATCTCTATTTAAAAAACACAAAAGGCCACGCATGGTGGCTCATGCCTGTAATTCCCAGCATTTTGGGAGGCCGAGGAGGATCATTTGGACTAAGTTCAAGACCAGCCTGGGCAACATAGTGAGAGCTTGTCTCTAGTTTAAAAAAAAAAAAAAAGCTGGGCGTGGCTGTGTGCACCTGTAGTACCAGCTACTCAGGAGGTTGAGGCAGGAGGATTGCTTGAGCTGGGGAGATCAAGGTTGCAGTGAGCTATGATCGCAATACTGCACTCTGGGTAACAGAGCGAGACCTTGTCTCAAAAAAAAAAAAAAAGTGCAGTAAAAATACGATATTATAATCCTATGGTAGCACCACTGTATATGTGGCTCATAGTTGACCCAAAACATCTAATTTTTGCCTACATTATGAAAAGAAAAACATGCAATACTACCAATTCCGGAGTAAAGTCTCTTTCTCCAAACCAATTACTCAGATATTCCAAGACACTAGTTACTGTTGCCTAAAAAAAAGGAGGGGGTGGAGAAGAGTTGTATTAATAATAAAACACAAATTGAACATGAGTTTCATTAAGTTTCTTTAGAAAGCAACTCCGATGTTAAAAATGGCCTCATTCTTTAAATTTTCAAAGAAAGCTAATTCTTTTGACTCTAATTAGTTTGATTAGATGGCTTATCCCATGAGGCTTTTTTTTTGAGATGGAGTCTCCCTCTGTTGCCCAGGCTGGAGTGTAGTGGCGCGATCTTGGCTCACTGCAATCTCCACCTCCTGGGTTCAAGCAATTCTCCTGCCTGAGCCTCCTGAGTAGCTAGGATTACATGCGTGCGCCACCATGTCTGGCTAATTTTTGTATTTTTAGTAGAGACGGGGTTTCTTCATGTTGGTCAGACTGGTCTGGAACTCCCGACCTCAGGTGATCCGCCTGCCTCAGCCTCCCAAAGTGCTGGGATCACAGGTGTGAGCCACGGCACCTGGCTCCAGTGAGGCTTTTAAAACAAATATTTTCACACTTTCAAATATCAACTAACACCTTGGTTTAAATCCCAGGATTTAGTTTGTAACTATTAATAATTTAGTTTGTAACTACTTGAAAGACTTCACAAGGTTAAAAAAAAAATGTATTTGTGGCCAGGCTCAGTGGCTCATGCCAGTAATCTCAGCACTTTGGGAGGCCGAGGCAGGTGGATCACTTGAGGTCAGTTTGAGACCAGCCTGGCCAACATGATGAAACCCTGTCTCTACTGAAAATACAACAATTAGCCGGGTGTGGTGGTGAGTGAATGTAGTCCGAGCTACTCGCGAGGCTGAGGCCGGGGAATCCCTTGAACCCGGGAGGCGGAGGTTGCAGTGAGCCGAGGCTGTGCCACTGCGCTCTAGCCTGGGTAACAGAGTGAGACTCTGTCTCAAAAAAAAAAAAAAAAAAAAAGGCCTGTTACAATGGCACACCCGAGGCGAGGAGTTTGAGACCAGCCTGGCCAACATGGCAAAACCCCATCTCTACTAAAAATACAAAAATTAGCCAGCCATGGTGGCAGGCATCTGTAATCCCAGCTACTCGGGAGGCTGAAACAGGAGAACTGCTTGAACCCAGGAGGTGGAGGTTGCAGTGAGCTGAGATCCCGCCACTTCACTCCAGCCTGGGCAAAAGAGCGACACTCTGTCTCAAAAAAAAGATGTATCTATAAAAATACCATCAGTTGGCCAGGCGTGGTGGCTCACGCCTGTAATACCAGCACTTTTGGAGGCCGAGGCAGGTGGATCATGAGGTCAGGAAATCGAGACCATCCTGGCCAACATGGTAAAACCCTGTCTCTACTAAAATTCAAAAAATAGCTGGGCATGTGGTGTGCACCTGTAGTCCTAGCTACTAGGGAGGTTGAGGCAGGGGAATTGCTTGAACCCGGGAGGTGGAGGTTGCAGTGAGCCGAGATTGTGCCACTGCACTCCAGCCTGGCGACAGAGAGAGACTCCGTCTCAAAAAAAACAAACCATTAGTTTATTTCCAAATCCAAATTAAATCAAAGTACACATCTGAAGAAAAAATTAGCTGGAGAAAGATGTTTTTAAACTATACAGATGGATTTATCAAACTCTTGAAAATATTCTCTGGTTTATTCAAATACAGTTGATGGTTACAACAAAAATGACACTGATGGACTTTAGTATGACTGCTACAATATCTTAATGCAAATGATTAAGTAAAACTGTCAACCTGTGTATTATTTCCAATAGAATATAGCCCACAAAAAAAATATGGCCAACAGGCTGGGCCCAGTGGTTCACACCTGTATTCCCAGCACTTTGGGAGGCTGAGGTATGGGGATAGCTTGAGCTCAGGAGTTCCAGACCAGCCTGGGCAACACAGTGAGACCTGTCTCTACCAAAAATAAACAAACAAAATTAGCCAGGCATGGTAGCACATGCCTGTGGTCCCAGCTACCAGGAGGCTGAGGTGGGAGGATTGCCTGACCCCCAGAGTACAAGACTGCAGTGAGCTAAGATCACACCACTGTACTCCAGCATGGGCAACAGAATGAGACCCTGCCAAAAAAAAAAAAAAAAAAAAAAAAAGGCTTCCAAAGGTACCCAATGCTATGTGAAGATAAAATTAAATTTTTATTTGCTTTTAAAATGAGTAATAGAGTCCTTGCTCCTAAAACACTAAAGAACCAAACTCCATAATTCTCCCCTTTTGGTCCAAGAAATTATGTATTTCAATCTTTTTTTTTTTTTTTTTTTGAGAGTCTCGTCCTGTTGCCCAGGCTGGAGTGCAATGGCGCGATCTTGGCTCACTGCAACATCCACCTCCCAGGTTCAAGCGATTCTCCTGCCTCAGCCTCCCAAGTAGCTGGGATTACAGGTGTGCGCCTCCACGCCCAGCTAATTTTTATATTTTTAGTAGAGACAGGGTTTCACTATGTTGGCCAGTCTGGTCTCAAACTCCTGACCTCATGATCTACCCACCTCAGCCCCACAAAGTGCTGGGATTACAGGAGTGAGCCACTGGGCCCAGCCCATATTTCAATCTTAATAGAATGTACAGGACATCTAGAACTAGAAATAGCAATCTAACCTTAGTACAGATGCCCCTGAACTTGCAACGGGGTTATGTGCTGATAAACACATTGTAAAGTTGAAAATTCCTAAATTGGCTGGGCATGGTGGCTCATGCCTGTAATCCCAGCGCTTTGGGAGGCCAAGGTGGGCGGATCACTTGAGGCCAGGAGTTCGAGACCAACGTGGCCAACATGGTAAAACCCTGTCTCTACTAAAAATACAAAAATTAGCCAGGCATGGTGGAGAAAAAAAAAAATCCTAAACTGAACCATTGTAAGTCAGGGACCTTGTATTTAATTCAAATCGCAGAATCTAAGATTTATAACTGAAATCTATAGAAATTAATACTCTAGCACCATGATTAAGACAGAGCATGAGCTCTGGAGTTAGATCTACCTGGCACTGAATCCCAGTACTGCCATTTACTTGCTGAAAAACCACCTGCAAGTTACTTAACCTCAAATGCAGTTTCCTCATCTATAAAAAGTAGATATCAACAACTCCCCATAGAGGGTTGTAGTAAGGATTAAATAAGAACCATTACAGAGCTTAGGACAAAGTCTTGCATACTATAAGAATTCAGTAAATGTATTAATAATTCAAATACTTTCACACACAATGCAAATGAAATAATGCATATATCTTTATTATTAATTTTACCTGATTCATTCTGCTAACAATACTAAGCAAGGGAGGAAAACCAATCTGAAAGAAAAAATGAGACTGAAATTTACTAAATGGTATTATAAAGAAAAGCTTCTTTTTTTTTTCCCCCCAAACTGGTGAATTTCTTGCCACACTGTTGTTTAGAAACAAAGAACAAATAAAAGAAAATTCTTTCGTTGTCCATTACAGTAAGACATTCCGGAAACTACTATGTTGGTAATGTGGAAGAAAATAATGTCTTAAAATTTGAATATGTAATTTTTTTTTTTTTAACATGAGGTCTCACTCTGTCACCCAGACTGGAGTGTGGTGGCGCGATCTTGGCTCACTGCAACCTCCGCTTCCTGGGCTCAAGTGATGCTTCCACCTCAGCCTCACTAGTAGCTAGGGCCACAGGTGCATGTCACCATGCCCACCTAATTTTTTTGTATTTTTGGTAGAGATGACGTTTTGCCATGTTGCCCAGGTTTGTCTGGAACTCCTGAGCTCAAGTGATCTAACTGCCAGGGCCTCCCAAAGTGCTGTGATTACAGGCATGAGCCACCTCACCTGGCCTGAAAATGTAAATTTTTAAATAAAGTATAATTTAGTAACTAAAATGTTAAAGACTAAAATTTTGTTAAATGATAGTACTTGAAAAAACTTATTAAGTATATTCAATAAAACTGTAACATATTGATGACATTAATATGTTGTACACACCATTTCAAAATCTTCAGCTAAAGCTAACATTTTCAAGAATTAAGGACATTTGAATTAGAATGACATTTTTCAAACCTAATTTGATTCAATTTTTAAAAGTCTACTTTGGAGTCTGAGGCTGTGATTCCTAATTATTAAAATACCACTGATTTGTGAGAAACTTAAGAGGATATACATTAAACGCTTACTTTCTTAAGGGTTTTTTTAAACACTCCGGTGGTATCTTTTATTAGTAAGTATTCTCTGAAAATAAGCTAAATAAGTAAGTTTTATTTCCTTATTAAATTAAAAACCATTTTTGGCCAGCCATGGTGGCTCATGCCTGTAATCCCAGCAGGAGGATTACCTAAGCCCAGGAGTTCCAGGCCAACCTGGCAACATGGCGAAAACTTCTCTCTACAAAAATTTTTTTAAAAAAATTAAAAATTTTTATCTTAAAAAATTAAAAAATTTATTGCTACAAAAAATTTAAATATTAGCTGGGTGTGGTGGTGGGTGCGTGCTGCCCCTGCTACGTGGAAGGCTGACGTGGGACGATTGCTTGAGCCCAGAAGGTTGAAGCTGTAATGAGTCATGACTGCACTACTGTACTCCAGCCTGGATGACAGAAGACCCTGTCTCAAAAAAAAAAAAAAAAAAAAAAATATATATATATATATATATATATAAACTATTTTTGAAATGTAGCATATATTAAGGATATCATCCAAAAGATCAATTGGTTACATAGAAAGTGTATCAAATTAACTTCCCTAAGATTTGAGTCTATTTACACTACTGTACCATGTCTAAGAGTGCTTGTTTTCCCAGCTCTTGTCAATATGGTGTATCAAACTTTCATTGCCAATATGTTACCTGAAAAATAGCACCTTGGCATAGTTATGTTATACTTCTATTACAAGTGATTTTTGGCATCTTGTCATATAAGAATAATTTTATTTCCTTTCTGTGAGGTATCTATATCCTTTGGCTGTTTTTTCTTGGGCAGGGGAGGGGTGATTCTTGGTCTTTTTATTGATTCTTGGGGCTCTTTACATTTTTGGGAAAAATTAGTTTTAAATGGGAAAAACACAATGTGGCACCATATAGCAAATAATAAATACCTGTTGAACCGAAGAGAACGACATGCTATAGGGAGTAAGCGCTAATGCAGAGGCATACACTGGATTTTAAAGGAACACCTGCAAACTTGGGGGCAGGTAAATCCTGAAGGACAATGAGTTGGCTACATAACTTATGACTACAGCCACATGAATTTAAAGATATCCTTAAAATTTCATCTTTAGAATATATTACTTACTTTTTCACAGGCCCATGAAATGATATTATGTGATTATGCATTTTAAAGCACCTAATTGTGTCAATTTCCATTTTTTCCCTGGCTACTCATAACACTGTTTGCCTGATGCCTCGTCATTTTAAAACACCCTGAATCTTATCCAACTCATAAAATGATTACCAAGTCAAACATAAGGGATATGAAGCCAACCTAAAAAAAGTCACAGTAAACTGTTTCAGAAACTAAGCTGCTTTGTTAGGTTGAAGAGCTAATAAACTAAGTCTGGGTTGCCAAACATTTTCTATCAAGAGTTAGACAGCAAATATTTTAGGCTTTGCAGGCCACATAAAGTCTCAGCCACATATTATTTGTTTCTTTTTTACAACTCTTTAAAAACCTAAAAACAATCCTTAGCTCATGGATATAAAAAAGGCCATGAACTGGACTTGGCCCAGGGTAGAGTTTGCTGACCCCTTATATTAAGTGATGCACCAAAATTAAAACGCTTTTTGTTCTGTTTATCCACACAGCCCTTACTTGTACATAATCTATTCCAGGACTTTCATTTGTGGCTGGTCCAACAGCCCCGTCAGCACATAACTTTTCACCCAGACAAAATTTCTTCCAGCCTTCTTCATCTTCAGATTTTGGCTAAAAGAAAAAAAAGAAAACTGATTTATTCCTGTGTATTAATTTTTACACTGAACAGTAAAAAAAAAAAAAGAAGTTAAGGCCTTCCATATTCCCATTACCTCAACCCAAAGATAGGGTGCCAGTTATGGGGAGAATCTCTGTCCCCAAAATTTGTATGTTAAAACCCTAAACTCCAGTACCTCAGAATGTGACTGTATTTGGAGACAGGGCCTTTAAAGAAGTGATTAATTTAAATTGAGGCCATTAGGGTGAGCCCTAATCCAATCTTACTAGTGTCCTTTTAAGAGGAAATTTGGACTCACAAAGAGACACCAGGGACTCCCACACATAGAGGAAAGACCACGTGAGAAGACATGGTGAAAGTGGCCCTATGCAAGCCAAGGAGAAAAGCCTCAGAAGAGACCAAAATGAGGCCGGGTGTGGTGGTTCATGCCTGTAATCCCAGCACTTTGGGAGGCTGAGGCAGGCGGATCACATGAAGTCAGGAGTTCAAGACCAGCCTGGCCAACATGGCGAAACCCCACCTCTACTAAAAATACACACAAAAAAATTAGCCGGATGTGGTGGCACACACCTGTAATCCCAGCTACCCAGAGGCTGAGGCAGGAGAATCGTTTGAACCCGAGAGGCGGAGGCTGCAGTGAGCCGAGATTGTGTCATTGCACTCTAGCCTGGGCAACAAGAGCGAAACTCTGCCTCAAAAAAAAAAAAAAAGAGAGACCAACCTTGCTGCCACCTTGTTCTTGGACTTTCAGCCTTCAAGACTGTGAGAAAATAAATACATTTCTGTGGTTTAAACCACCTAGTCTGTTATGGCAGCCCTGACAAACATAGTGCCTAAGTGGCTACAAAATATGTGGGATATGTTGCTTTTTCTTATTATTACATTTTTTGAGACAGGGTCTTGCTATGTCGCCCAAGTTGGAGTGCAGAAGTGTGATTACAGTTCATTGCAGCCTGAATCTCCTGGGTTCAAACAATTCTGCCACCTCAGCCTCTTGAGTAGCTGGGACTACAGGCACGCGCCACCATGCCTGATAATTTTTAATTTTTTTTTGTAGAGATAGTTGTCTCACTATGTTGCCCAGACTGGTCTCAAACTCCCGGCCTCAAGCAATTCTTCTGCTTTGGCTTCCCAAAGTGCTGGGATTACAAGTGTGAGCAACAGTGCCCAGCCAAGATGTGTTTAGTTTGGACAAGACTTTAATGGACACTGACAGACAAGGGTGTGTCCAAAAGAGGATGATAAAGACAGCAATAAGTATGGAGGAAAAATGCACCAAGAATGCTTAATAGAATGAAGGATGTTTATCCCATGTAAAGAGATGTGATTACATATTTCACATATCTGAAGGGCTGTCCAATCAAAGAAGAAACAGATCTACTCATGCTGCCAGACAGAAAATTCAGGACTAGTTGGGAGAAGCATTCAGCTCAATATAACCTTCTTAACAAAACAACTTTTATTTGTACATATCACCTTGCACATTACTCTGCATAGGTGTATTATCCCCACCCAGGGATAAGTAGCTTTCATTAAATCTTTAGGATGAATCATCTGAGGTCAGGAGTTCGAGACTAGCCTGGCAATCTGGTGAAACCCCATCTCTCCTAAAAATAGAAAAATTAGCTGGGTGTAGTGGCGGGTGCCTGTAATCCCAGCTACTTGGGAGGCTGAGGCAGGAGAACTGCTTGAACTCGAGAGGCAGAAGTTGCAGTGAGCCAAGATTGTGCCATAGCACTCCAGACTGGGCAATGAGAGCAAAACTCCATCTCAAAAAAATAAATAAAATAAAAAATAAAATAAAATAAAAGAAAACCTCATGATGAACATGAGACCACTACAAAGTTAAACCCTATTGTCTTGTCTTGGAATAAGGTATCTACTTTTTCCTATCATTCCATCAGGTCAGAAACTGTTTCTGTTTCAGTTAGTACTCAATATCCTAATTATTAAATATAGTACATGCTTACTTATATCAATTAATAAACAAATGTTTATGTTTTCACACAGTTGCCATCAGAGTGTACTTCATTTTTTAAATAATTTAAATAGAGACAGGGTTTTGCCATGTTGCCCAGGCTGGTCTTGAACTCCTGAGCTCAGGTGATCTGCCTGCCTCAGCCTCTCAAAGTGCTGGGATTACAGGCATGAACCACTGTGCCTGGCTCAGAGTGTACTTTAATATTCCACTGTTCTGACGGACCATAGTTTACTGAAGCAATTATGTTAGGTCATTTCCATTTTTGACAAAATTTTATCAAGTCATGTTACTGATGTGGCTTCTTTTTTAGATAGTGGACATGTACCCAAAAGCCCTTCCACTAAGTGAGAAAAAAATATATTTACCTACCTAGCCCTGTCCCAACTACATACATACATCCTTGGTACTAGGAAGGCACCATTGCCTAGTCAAAGGCACACAGGCTTTAGAGACAGACCAACTTGGGTTTGAACCCTAAGCATACCTTTTGTGTGTTTATGTGCCCATGCTTCTTTGATAGAAGAACTAGCTATACCTTTTGCGAGTTAAGTGACCTTTGGCAAATGATAAGTTACTTCCCTTCACGCTTTTGCTGGAGCAGAGCTTCCAAATGGTATGCAGAAGCATACAGAGATGCCATATACTGAATCTCTCAGCTTTCGGCTAGTTTCAGGAAGAATATGCAAGCAGTCATTTATTCTAATGTGTCACCATGTAAAAGATATCAGGAAGCACCGCCTAAAGGAAGCTTCTAAAATCTAAAATCTATGAACTACCTGAAACTAAAATTTTGTGCACAGGTGCATTTTTTTTCCCTCTGAACATAAATAGCTTTCATTAGATTCTATGAAGGAATATGAAATCCCCTAAAAGGTTAAAAACTACTGTCCTGAGACAATGTATCATCCTTCCAACTCCTTTTTTCATTTGGTAGTCCTGATATATCTACTAAAGAGCTTAAAATTATATCTAAACTGATAAAATGAAGGACATATGCATGACAATATACATGACAAGTTTCACTTATGTGTCACTGGAATTGTGATGCAGACTCATCACATTAAGCAGAAGCAGAATCCATTCATTCACAAATTCTGCAAATGTGAGTTTACTGCATGCCACCATCACCTCATCAGGAAAATACATTAAGTCTTTATTCAATTTTTTTGTAAATATTGAAAATGTATTTATTTCCTAGAAAGTAAATGTCTAGAAGAATCCTTAAAAACTTGTGGAAGCTTAACAGTCACCTATCCAAATTCCCCCAAGATATTATGAATTAAAATTGACATGAAAGGCTGGGTACAGTAGCTCATGCCTGTAATCCAGCCCTCGGGGAGGCTAGGGCAGGAGGATCACTTGAGCTCAGGAGCAAGAGACCAGCCTGGGTAACACAGGGAGACCTTGTCTCTATAAAAAATTTAAAAAATCAGCTGGGCACGGTGGTACGCGCCTTAAGTTCAACCTACTTGGAAGGCTGAGGTGGGAGGATCACTTGAGCCCAGGAGGTCTAGGCTGCAGTGAGTCATGATTGTGCAACTGCACTCCAGCCTGAGAGATAGAGCAAGACCCTGTCTCAAAAAAAAAAAAAAAAAAAATTGTCATGAAAATCATACTTTCCAGGTTACTAACGTAATGGAATTGTTACTATTAATGGTATATTGAAGAGAATGAAAATAACTGACTAGGCAAGTGAATCTTTAAAGACTGGAAGTAAATATAGATCCTTTCAATCAGGTATGCATCGTACAACTTAAAACTGAGAAACTTACATACCATGGTCACATTACTATCCAACTGTTGTGATTTCCAGTGACTTCTATGTTTGTTCACATTCTAAAGGAAGAAAAGACATTAGACGGTACTCCTCAAAAAATGGATAACTGAAATCAGTTTCTGCACAAAATTGTAACCATCTAAAACTTGGAAAATGGGAAAGGTGGGAGGGGTGAGATATAAAAAACCACATATTAGGTACAGAGTACACTGCTTGGGTGACGAGTGCACCAAAATCTCAGAAATCACCACTAAAGAACTTATCCATGAAACCAAAAACCACCTGTTCCCCAAAACTACTGAAATAAATAGATAAATAAAAATAAACAAAACTTAGAAAATATTTCAAACTGTATGTCTAATGATTATAATAATAATTTAGTAATTAATTCATGAATATTCTGTATACTTTAGGATCATAAATTTTATTTTTCCAGCTACAGTCTAAGAACAGAAATAAATCCAACAGGGGCTTAATCAGATTAAATATGACACTTACCTGTCGAACAGTTGAAAACTGTGCCACTTGTTGCTGTTGCCATTGAAGTGTTGGGGAATAACCTTCAGGGGCGGGTTGGCATCCTGAAAGCTAGAGATCAAGTTCACAAATATTAGGATCAACAGTAGTGTCAAAACTAGAATCTCATGCCTCTGCAAAGCAAAATAAAACCAAGATAAAGTATATAATAAAGATTATACAAAGGCCGGGCATGGTGGCTCACGCCTGTAATCCCAGCACTTTGGGAGGCCGAGACAGGCGGATCACAAGGTCAGGAGATCAAGACCATCCTGGTTAACACAGTGAAACCCTGTCTCTACTGAAAATACAAAAAAATTAGCCGGGCATAGTGGTGGGCGCCTGTAGTCCCAGCTACTCAGGAGAATGGCGTGAACCCAGGAGGCGGCGCTTGCAGTGAGCCAAGATGGTGCCACTGCACTCCAGCCTGGGCGACTGAGTGAGACTCCGTCTCAAAAAAAAAAAAAAAAAAGATTATACAAGAAAATAAACTACTTTTTGCAGATGTAAAAAAGTAGGCATTTCACTTTACTATTTATATTCCAGTTAAAAACATTAGAGAAAGAGTCTTAAGTCACCTTAATCAGAGAAATCTGGAAAGGTTTATAGTTGGAGTGTCTATAAAATCTAAATGACAGGAGCCTGGAGGATATATCTAGTCCTACCTGCCTTTCTAGAATAGCAAAACAGAAACAAAAAGAGAGATATACCCCAAATAAAGAATTCTGGTATGAAATACAGTTAGAGAGAATGAATGAGTTCTCATGTTCAACAGCACAGTAGAGTGACTACAGTTAACAGTAATTTATTGTATATTTCAAAACAGCTAGAAGATTTGAATGTTCCCAAAACAAAGAAATGATAAATGAGGTGATAGATATCCTAATTACTCTGATTATTATACATTGTATGCATGTTTCAAAATATCACATGTACTCCATAAATATGTACAATTATTATTATTTTGCCCACATGATAAAGCATGAAATTATGTATGATTATTATATATCAATAAAATAAAAAATAAGAACTTTGGTATGGGCAAAATGTACTTAAAGACATTTAACTTTAAATTGCCTACTTCTGTTTTCTTTTTTTGAGACGGAGTTTTGCTCTTGTTGCCCAGGCTGGAGCGCAATGGCGTCATCTCGGCTCACCGCAATCTCTGTCTCCCGGGTTCAAGCAATTCTCCTGCCTCAGCCTCTCGAGTAGCTGGGATTACAGGCGTGTGCCACCACACCCGGCTAATTTTGTATTTTTAGTAGAGACGGGGTTTCTCCATGTTGGTCAGGCTGGTCCTGAACTCCCGAACTCCTGTGATCCGCCTGCCTTGGCCTCCCAAAGTGCTGGGATTACAGGCGTGAGCCACTGTGCCCAACCATACTTCTATTTTCTAAAACAGCACGTATAGCCTGAGCAACATATCAAGACCCCGTCTCTACAAAAAATACAATTAGCTGGGCACTGTGGCACATGCCTGTCGTCTCAGTTACTGGGGAGACTGAGGTGGGAGGATGGCTTGAGCCCACGAGCTCGAGGCTGCAGTGAGCTATGATCATGGCACTGTACTCTGGCCTATGCAACAAAGCGAGACCTTGTCTCAATCAATCAATCAATCCATCAAATTAGGTATATTAAGACATTCTGTTCCATTAAATGTCCATCAACTAAAAAATCCTGAAGAGGAATTATAAGAAAAATTATAGTGTCTGAATTAAAATTTCCTGATTACAAATATCAGTTAGAACAACTACTTTGAACATGAAAAGGAAATTACTATCAACTAGTTAAAATGCCACTCTCCCAGGCACCTGTAGTTCCAGCTACTTGGGAGGCTGAGGCAGGAGAATGGTGTGAACCCAGGAGGCGGAGGTTGCAGTGAGCTGAGATTGCACCACTGCACTCCAGCCTGGGTGACAGAGTGAGACTCAGAGACTCTGTCTCAAAGAAAAAATAAATAAATAAAATAAAATGCCACTCTCCTTTGAGCTTAGGTTAAATAGCACCTCCTTAGAGAGACCTTTGCTGGCCAGGTGTGGTGGCTCACACCTGTAATTCCAGCACTTTAGGAGGTGGAGGCAGGCAGATCACTTCAGGTCAGGAGTTCGAGACCAGCCTGGCCAACATGGTAAAACCACGTCTCTACTAAAAATACAAAAATTAGCCGGGTGTGGTGGCACACACCTGTAATCCCAGCTACTTAGGAGGCTGAGGCAGGAGAAGCTCTTGAACCTGGGAGGCGGAGGTTGTGATGAACTGAGATCGTGCCACTGTACTCCAGCCTAGGTGAAAAATCGAGACTCAAAAAAAAAAAAAAGGGAAAAAGAGAGTCCTTTTATGATTCCTCTATCTACAGTAGTTCTGTCATGTATTGATTATTATATATGCTTATTTTCTTCATAGCAATAATCACAATATGTAATTATTTGTTCGCTTGTTTACTCTCTGTCTTCCTCAGGAGAGTATGTAAACTCTACAAGGGTAAGAACCGTTTTTGTCTTATCCTCTGTTGTATTCCCAGGGCCCGGCACTGTACTCTGCTTAATTAAAGATGTGCTGGATAAATGAAAATGTCCAGAGTGTGCACATAGCTATAAAAGTAAGGCCGGGTATGGTGGCTCACACCTGTAATCCCAGCAGTTTGGGAGGCAGAGGTGGGCGAATCACGAGGTCACGAGTTCGAGACCAGACTGACCAACACGGTGAAACCCCGTCTCTACTAAAAATGCAAAAATTAGCCGGGTGTGGTGGCGAGCGCCTGTAATCCCAGTTACTCAGGAGGCTGAGGCAGGGTAATCGCTTGAAACCGGAAGGCAGAGGTTGCAGTGAGCCGAGATCGCACCACTGCATTGCAGCCTGGGCAACAAGAGTGAAACTCTGTCTCAAAAAAAAAAAAAAAAAAAAAAAAAAGTGTAAGACATCTGGGTTTCTATTAAAAAAAGTGAAATTTAGTCAAATTCAGATTAAATTATATTAAACTAAGATTAAACACCAATCCAATAACTGGAAAAAGGTTCCTTAAAAATAAAGGGGTCAGGCGAGGTGGCTCATGCCTGTGATCCCAATGCTTTGGGTGGCAGAGGTGGGAGGATCCCTTGAGGCCAGGAGTTCCAGACCTGCTGGCAACAGAGACTTACTCTCTATAAACAAACAAACAAGCAAAAAGAAAAAAGATAGCATAAGTAACCCATTTAAAGACTCCTTTGAAAGGACTGGATAATGTCCCTGAAGTAAGATGGGCAAGCCTCCACAAAGGCTAGAGTTACAGAAAGCCTCTTTAGAGGCAGTAAATGCCAATTGTGTTTCTGGAGGAAAAAGTACAAGCGAATGTCTAACTTTGCAGCGAGTAGTCAAATCTTACATCATAATTGATACTGTTGGATACTATAGGGAGCGTTAGTCTTTTAATTGGGGGATTGGGGGTAAGCTCCAGACGGTTAATAAAACTCACAGAAATATTCACACTTTGCTTCCTTTTCAACTTCTTTGGGTCAATTTGAGCTACCACAACATCTGGACATTGAGCTGCTTCGATCCTACAAATAAGTAATAAACGCGAGAAATTAAATTTCTATTGTGCTTTGCTCAGGTGTAGTAAAACGAGCGATCCACTTCCACAGTTCATTGTGAAATTAGAAAAAAAATTCAGACTTCCAATTGAGGAACTAAACAATATATTTCTGAAATTATCTGGATCGAAAACAAATCTAAGAGCACACATCTTGATACGTGCAATCACGTTCAACAGAAACTCGCCCACGTTAGGATGTAATCCAGAATCCTGAATAGACCCGAACTCGCAAGAGACTGGAACGGGAATAGAGCACCGGGGGCTGTACCCAGGGGCAGCGCAGAAGACCAGCCCACCCGCCCAGGGCCAAATCACTCACTGGACCCGCCTCAGGTATTCCTGAGGCGTCCTCGGGGGTACCGAGGGATCGAAACCTTCCGTCAAGTCGCAGGGCTCTACCGGCAATAGCCGAGGCATCAACTCTTCCACTGCGGACTCCGCTGGTACCCACGCCATGGTTTTCAAACCAGCCAGTTCCGCTCAGCGCTTGCGCCCATTCTAGGTCACAGCGCAGGCGCACAAGTAGACACCTTAGGCGCGGAGCTGAGCAAGCGGCAGTTTAGGGAGCGTTAACTGCGCATGAACAAACTGCTGCTTGCCTCAAGGTTAAGGCTCCGGTGGTGTAATAAAGGATCTGAGAATTTAATTCCTAGCTGAATTGGTTCGAACGCGTTTCTGGGTCTTTTACCCTCTGTTTTGTTTTCTAACGCTGGGTAAAGGCCGAGGGTTAGCAATTTTTATGCATCTCTAGTAGTGAGGGATCCTTAGAAATGTTTTTTGAATTAATGAACAATATTACGGTAATTATCATTCATGGAGCTCTAAATTTTTAAACCCTTAATAAACACACACATTTTCTCATTTGATTCTTAGAACAATCTTGTGAAGTGGGTAGTAATATTCCGCTTTCTTAGGGCAGGGACTGACCTTCCAAAGGGGAAGAACCAATTCCAACCTAGATTTATCCGATGCCAAATGAATGAAAAATTAATTTTCTACAGGAATTTCTAGTGCTTGACCACTTCAAAGATCACTGTATGTTTATTTGGAATGAATATTACTCCTAGAATAGCCAGCACTTTTTAATTTTCGTTTTAAAGAAAAATCTCTTCGTTTAAATACAAATAGTGAAAAAAATGAAACTAATGCTAACACCCAGAAATTAAAAATGTTAGGTCAGTCTTGTTAGGTAGATAGTATTATTATCTCCATTTCATAGGTGAGGAAACAAGGCAGGAATGTGCAAGAAACAAGTATAATATCTGATTATTTCTAAACAAATACAATTGAGTGAATACAATTGACTTTTATTTTCTAACATTTATGTTTATTTTAGAAGGTTTAAAAAAATTTTTTTATTTATAGCACTGCCTTTAGCTTGCAAGGAACTGATTTTAAACCAGGATGTAAATCTAAATTGAAGATAAAGTGAGGATAGTCCTTAGCTTATTTAAGTACTTAATGCTTAGGAACTGCAACTAAACAGTTGGGACACTGGGAAAGATAACACCTGGCTGCAGACTACAGTTATTTGGTTAACAAATTTTCACTGGTTTTGGGAAAAACAGACTTAAAAGAGAATAGGGAGAAATACTCCTGTCCTCCAACATTTTGGTGATAATCAAGGACAAATATGAAAAAGTAGTGACTTGAGGACTAAACTGATTTTTTTATTTTGCCCAAATTCCTATCTAAGGGGTCTGGGGAGTCATGCCCTACAAAGCATAAATTCTCATCAGATGGGTTTTATTTAACCCTATATATCATGATTTACTTTTCAACCTCACTTCAGCATAACATTATGAGACAAAGAAGAAGAAAAAAATATTTTACCCCAAAACATGTTTCTTTGCCCTATTTTGAAAAGGCCCTGCAAAGCTGTTCTTCGTGGGGGAAAATTTGCATCTGTAAAGAATCTTGGCCAGGCGCGGTGGCTCACGCTGTAATCCCAACCACTTTGGGAGGCTGAGCTGGGCAGATCACCTGAGGTCAGGAGTTCCAGACCAGCCTGGCCAACATGGTGAAACTCCATCTTTAGTAAAAATACAAAATATTAGCTGGGCATGGTGGCGGGCGCCTGTAATCCCATCTACTTGGGAGGCTGAGGCAGAAGAATCGCTTGAATCCAGGAGGTGGAGGTGGCAGTGAGCCGACATTGTGCCATTGCACTCCAGCCTGGGCAACAAGAGTGAAACTCCATCTCAAAATAAATAAATAAATAAATAAATAAATAAATAAATAATTAAATAAAATAAAATATTACCCAGCCTTGACCTCCTAGACTCAAGTGATCTACTCACCTTGGCCTACCAAAGTGCTGGGATTACAGGTGTGAGCCACTGGGCCAGGCCACAAATACATATATTTTTATTTTTATTTTTTACTGTAAATTATTAGCATTTTCTCTCAATTTTTTTCTGGAGAAAAGGTTACCTTGCGAATTAACTACCAGTGGAACAATGGTTAACATTGGAGTTTGTGCATAAGTATGTGTCAGAACTACGCAAGGATTAAGGAAGAAAGGAGACAATACGAGAATGGAACAAAGGTTGTCCTGGGAAATAAATTATTTTCCAAAAGAAGAGGTAATAATATAGCTTCGTGCTACTTCAAATCTAATTTGATTTAAAAGAATTAGTAATGAGATTTTGAGCGGAGTTTTCAGAAATTGCACGAAGTATTTGTTAATGCTTTCGTGAAATATGGAACACATGAGATAAGCTATATTTGGCTGATGAAGTTATTCTGAAAAAATGCTTACTATTTGGAAAGGTGAACTTCTGAAACTACAATAACATTTCATCTATTCCCAGGAAGAAATATTCCTAAGGTACTGAACTACTTCTGGTGCCCTGTTTTTAGAGATTTATCACCTGTTTTTAGTTTATGATGGAAAAATTCTTGTTTCAGTATTTCTCACACAATTGGTTAGCTGTAGAAGTTACATGAGGATTGTGAGAACAGAACATTCTGTTGTGTGTTTATTGATGACGTGGCTGTTTATTGATGATATGGAGGCATCTGTTAAGTCAACCTTACACAGCTGACTGCAGTTTATCTCTGTCTCTGTATTTTCTTTTCTTTTCTTTTTTTTTTTTTTTGAGACGGAGTCTCGCTCTGGCGCCCAGGAGTGCAGTGGTACTGCTCACTGCAACCTCTGCCTCCCAGGTTCAAGCGATTCTCCTGCCTCAGCCTCCTGAGGAGCTGGGATTACAGGCACCCGCCACCATGCCCGGCTAATTTTTGTATTTTTAGTAGAGATGGGTTTTGCCATGTCGGTCAGGCTGTTCTTCAACTCCTGATCTCAGATGATCTACCTGCTTCAGTCTCCCATGTCTCTGTGTTTTCTGTCCCTTTAAGGAGCTCAGTTATTCTCAAATGTTAGTGTGTATAAGAATCATCTGGCTGGGCGTGGTGGCTCAAGCCTGTAATCCCAGCACTTTGGGAGGCCAAGGCAGGCGGATCACTTGAAGTCAGGAGTTCGAGATCAGCATGGCCAACATGGTGAGAGCCCCCCGCCCCACGTCTCTCCTAAAAATACAAAAAATTAGCTGGGCATGGTGGCATGTGCCTGTAATCCTAGCTACTTCGGAGGCTGAGATGGGAGAATTGCTTGATCCCAGAAGGTAGAGGTTGCAGTGAGCCGAGATAGCGCCACTGTACTCCAGCCTGGGCGACAGAGTGAGACTGTCTCCAAAAAAAAAAAAAAAAAAAAAGAAAAAGAAAAAAAAATCTGGAAGAAATTATTTAAAATATAGAGTCCTGTATTTTATAGCTCTTTCTTCCAGAGCTTCTGTTTCTGCTGATGGGGTGTGGGGCTAAGAAACTGACATTTTAAGAGGCGTTCCAGGTGGGATTTTTTTTTTTTTTTTTTTTTTGAGACACAATCTTGTTCTGTCGCCTGTTGCCCAGGCTGCAGTGCAGTTGTGATCTCTGCTCACTGCAACCTCCGCCTCTCCTGTGTTTGAGCGAGTCTTGTGCCTCAGCCTTCTGAGGCCACCACGCCTGGCTGATTTTTGTATTTTTAGGAGACACAGGGTTTTGCCACATTCCAGCTCTCTGGCGCTGTTTTTCTCTTTCTCAGGGATAAATCTTTCACATGGATTATCTCGTTTAATCTTCACAATACATGCAATTTAAGTGGTAGTTACTATTGTTATCTTCATTTGCAGGTGAAGAAACTGTGCAACATACCCAGATCATACAAGGAAGTAATGGAATTGAGATTCTATCCTCGGCACCAAGCCATTGCTCTAAATCTCTATGCTGTACAAGATACAGCTGAGTAAAGATTAGCAAAAACAAAACAAAAAAACAACAAAAAAAGTCCCAGGGAAGGTTCCTGTGAGTCTTTATGACCCACTGACCATAAATTAGAGAGAGGCAATGAAGATTAAATGCAGAGAGATCCAGTTTGCTTCCTAGTCTTAGTACACTGCCATCTAGGCATGAGTAGTCTCCTCATCTCCATTGTCCGAGAATGCTATCCTCTGGCTCTGAGGTCCAGATCCACTAAGAGAGAATGCTGACTTGATGTCGGAAAATCAAGACAAGGTCTAGTTTAATTATGGAACATGAAACAAAACCTTTACTCCTCTTTTAAAGTAAAAATGCAAATCTGTTCCCTTTTAGAGTGGGATTTCCCTCCTTTGTGATATGGCTTTTTAATCACTCTTATGTTCTTTATAAATCAAATAAATAAAAATAAAAAGAAAAATAAACCTGCCAGTAGATACTTATGTTTTCTTTGGGCCACTGTAAACGGTTTAAGGGCAAATCAACAAATTTCATTTGTTTTTTTCTTTTTTTTGAGACGAGTCTCGCTCTGTCACCCAGGCTGGAGTGCAGTGGCGTGATCTTGGCTCACTGCAAGCTCCACCTTCGGGTTCATGCCATTCTCTTGCCTCAGCCTCCCGAGTAGCTGGGATTACAGGCGCCCGCCACCATGCCTGGCTAATTTTTCTATTTTCAGTAGAGACGGGGTTTCACCGTGTTAGCGAGGATGGTCTTGATCGCCTGACCTCACGATCAGCCCACCTCAGCCTCCCAAAGTACTGGGATTACAGGTGTGAGCCACCGCGCCCGGCCCCTCATTTGTTTAGTTTTATTAAATGAACTCTTAAATTCTGGGATTGGTCAGAGTGGCAGAGTGAAGAGATATTGGAGTATACCACTGTTGGGGCACTCTGTGGAATAGAAAAGACTGCTATTTGGGCCAAGCATGGTGGGTCACGCCTGTAATCCCAGCACTTTGGGAGACTGAGGTTGGAGGATCACTTGAGTCCAGGAGTTTGAGACCAGCCTGTGCAACACGGGTGAATCCCATCTATACAAAAAATACAAAAATTAGCTGGGCATCCTGGCATGAATCTGTAAGTCCCAGCTGCCCAGGAGGCTTAGGTGGAAAGATCACCTGAGCCCAGGAGGTTGAGGCTGCAATAAGCTGTGATCCTGCCACTGTACTCCAGGCTAGGTGACACAGTGAGACTCTGTCTCAAAAAAATATATAAAATAAGATAAAATAAACAA